CCCCGTCTACGTCCGTCGATTCTTCTTCCACCGGTATCTCTACCGCGAGGGCTACGTCACGCGTGGCGGCCGGCGGAGCGATCCTGCGGTCGCAGTACGCAGCGGGGAGCGGGGGGAGGTGGATGCGAGAGAGGAAGGCGAGGGCGGTGAGGGGCTCGGGGTGCTTGAGGAGGAGCAGCAGCGCGCGTCCGAAGACCAAAGGGGGACTGCCACCCGCGAAATTGCTATTTCTGGAAATAAGGCCGAGGGGTCACCGGCGTTTACAGACAGGGTCACCCGCGTTTACAGTGAACCGGCGAAGGTGTCGCCGATTGGGTCTAATGGCACCAGCAGAGGGAGGGACGGCGCCCCAGTGACTCCCCTTAACGACGCGCCAGCTGGGTCCGACGTGGATACCACGCGGCTAGACTCCAGCCAGAATGGTCCGAGAACTGCTCGCGCTGACATGGACGCGCTGCGTCTGGACAGCAGCCAGCACGGGCCGCGGTCGGGGCGGGGGAAGGGGGAGCGGCGTATGTGGGACAGCCCGGGGGGCGCGCAGACGCGGCCAACGTGGACCCCGCGGAGGGCGTTCGGGCTGGAGGACGCGCTGGAGCGCACGGTGGGGCCGCTGTCGGGGCGCTACCAGGCGGGGGAGGAGAACGCGTGGCACACGTGGTCGGGTGACGTGGCGCGGGCAGAGGGGCAGCGGCTGAAGCTGGCGCTGGAGATTCTCAAGGTGCAGCAGCAGCAGCAGCAGCAGCGCGAGAGCACGCCGGGGCATCGCCCGGGGCTGTTCCTCCAGCGCACGCTGTCGTCCAGCACGTGGCGCACGGACGACGTGGAGGGCGGCAGCGCTGGCGCTGACTCTGAGCTGCTGCCAATAGGCCCGGGCGAGCGGAGGTTCCTGGAGCTGAGGTGGGCAGGGAAGGGGTGGAGAAGTGAGGGGTGGGACTTGCTAACGCGGCTGATGGTTGTGGTGGCCGATGCTGGCGATTGCTGCTCACTGCCCTGGCTGAATGCCTTGTGTACTTGAAATTTGCACCGCATTGCGATATGCATGCCGCACTGCCACCATGCCAACAGCCCGTCTCGCCATCCTGATTCAGGGCCCCTTCTCCCTCACCCTCCCCCTCTCTTCACTCGTCCGCTTCCCCAACCCAATCCACCCATCCCCAACCCCCGTTCGCCCACCTGCCCCCCACCACCTGCGTGTGTGTGCATGGCAGGGCGCTGGAGACTCTGAGCTGGCTGGTGCCGCTGTACTTCGTGGCGATCCAGGCGGTGGCTGTGGTGCTCATGCTGGTGCTGGTGCACGTGTCGCCCGCCGTGCGCCAGGTGATGGACAGCAACGGCGTCAGCCCCGTGTTCTTCTCCGTCTTCCAGGTGCCACGCCCCCTGCTGCCTGCCGCCTCTTGCTGCCTCTCTGCACGGAACACCCCCTCTGGACCGTCCCCGCTCCTCTGCGCACCACCATCCCTCTCCTTTCCGCCCTAAGCCCTCTCTCCTCTTCCCTCCCCTCCACGGTGCTGGGGTGGCGGGTGGGCAGGTGGTGTCGGCGTTCAGCAACACGGGGCTGGTGCTGCTCAACAGCAACCTCATGGACTTCAGCGGCAACGTGCCGCTGCTGCTGCTCTGCTCGCTGCTCATCCTCCTCGGCAACACGCTCTTCGCCCCCACGCTGCGCGGGCTGCTGCTGCTGCTGCACCGTGCCGCCAAGGGCGAGCACAAGGTGAGCGCCGCCCCCCACCATGCCGCTCTCCACGTCACAAGGTGAGGGCTGTCCCCACCATGCCGCTCCCCGCATCACATACCTTGGCTCGTGACGTGTCTGCCTTTCCCGCATCACTGCATTCATCCTCTGCCTGCCGTCCGCCATCGTCCTCCCTACCAACCCTTCCCCCCCTCTCCCCCGCAGGTGGTGTACAAGTACCTGCTGGACCACCCGCGCAAGTGCTACACGCACCTGTTCCCACGCTCCTCCACGCTGTGGCTGGTGGCCACAGTGGTGGCGTTCAACAGCGCCGAGTTCATCTTCTTCTGCGTCTTCGACTGGAGCTCCGTCGCTCTAAACGGCCTCTCCAGTGCGTGCCACTGTCAATGGGCGGGGGGGGAGGGTGTGGGGATGGGAATGGGCTGTGCGGGACAGGCACCAGGGACTGAGGGGCGTGAAGGACCGCACTGGGGGGGCTTTTCACGATGCATCCACCTCCCATACATGTCCCACGTGCATCTGTCTCCCGCATTTAGTAATCGTTTCCACCCTCAACCAGACTTCCTTCCCCCGCCTTTGTGAGCAGGCAGCACGAAGGTGCTGGTGGGGTACTTCCAGTCCATCTGCACGCGCACCGCCGGGTACAACGTCGTCATGCTCGCACTGCTCTCGCCGCCCATGCTCGTGCTCTACATCGCCATGATGTGAGTCTGCTCGTGCTCTACATCGCCATGATGTGAGTCTGCTCGTGCTCTACATCGCCATGATGTAAGTCTGCTCGTGCTCTACATCGCCACGATGCTTCTTCCCTCTCTTCTCCACCCCCTCTCTCTCCCCCCCCGTTCAGGAACGTGGCGGTGTACCCGGTGTACCTGACGCGGCAGACGTCTAGGGAGCAGCGCGAGGTGTACGACGACGAGGACATCGGCGTGTTCTACGAGGACCTGCAGGAGGGCGTGCTGGACGCGGGCGTGCTGACGCAGGGCAAGAAGCTCTTCCTGCACGACACCGCGCTCATCTTCTTCGCCATCTTCCTCGTCTGCATCATGGAGAGCCCCATGATCACCTCCGACCCCGCCAACTTCTCCATCTTCAACATCATCTTCGAGATCATGAGGTGCGCTGCTGCCGCTGTGAGGGAGGGGGAGAGAAAGGAACCGGGGGGGAGGGGTCCACCCTGCTAGCTTCTCCATCTTCAGCATCATCTTCGAGATCATGAGATATCATGCGCCACCACGCCTGGGCTGCCATGTGATGTGCCTCGCTGGTCCCCAGGAAAGCGCCGAGTGGGAAGGAAGATGTGGGTGGGGGGGGAGATGAGACCAACCGATAGAAGTGAGAATGAACCCTTTCTCGGTGTAACGCTCGTTGCCCAGATTGTCTTTGCTTCGTCTGTTCTTTACCCCTCTCCATGTGCGCCCTCGTGTGCCTCCTTGCCCGTGTCTGTGTTTCGTGTCTGTGAATGTCTGTGGTGCTCTGCGTCTGCATGCACACATGGCTGCATGTGGCAACACCACAGTGGCTATGGCAATGTGGGGTTCTCACTCGGGTACACCTGTCCAGAAGACGCCCCCCCTGGCTGTGTCTCGCCGCCCTACAGCTTCTCAGGTCAGTCCTCTTGGTATTCTGCTGCTGCTGCTGCTGCTGCTGATATGCTAGGCTCTATCTCCTCACTCTCCTGCTCCCTCCCCACTTCCCTCTCTTCCCCCCCTCCACCCCCTCTCTCTCACATGCACACACACATTACTAGCATCTCTCACAGTTGTTGTCTTGGCACCACATGCGAGCATCTCCAATGCGTGTGTATCCCACCACTCCCCCCCACCGCCCGCCCACGGGCCTCTCCCAGGGGTGTGGCGCACGGAGGCCAAGTTCGTGATGGTGCTAGTGATGCTGCTGGCGCGGCACCGCGGGCTGCCCGACAACATCGACGCCGCCATCGTCATCCCCGACCAGAAGCAGTTCCAGTCCGCCGCCAAGCCGCACGACGCTGCAGGCGCAGGTGAGACACATGTCGGGGGTGGAGAGTTGGAGGGGCAAGGAGTGGAACAAGGGTGCAGGGAGAAGGGACGCAGGGTGCAGGGGGAAGGGACGCTGGGTGCAGGGGGAAGGGACGCTGGGTGCAGGGAGAAGGGAAGCAGGGTGGCTGAGACACATAGGAACCCAGATGTCTGTCCACGCTCCCTTGCGTTGCTCTGCCTAGGTATGAATCTGCACCTGCATGCTCTTCATGGCATCTCATGTGTCTGTGCGCGCATGTGCTCAATGTGTCATGTGTTTGTGCACGCAAATCATGTGTTTGTGTGCATGTGCATGTTTGATATGGCATGCATTGTGTGTGCGGCCACCACAGAGTGTGAGGACGTGGAGAGCATTGGGCGGGCAAGGAGAGCAAGCGGGAGGGACCGGTGATTCCGCAGAGGGCCATGATGCGGACCCACAGCAGCAGCCAGATAGGGAGGTAGCAGCAGCGCGACCAGGTACCGTAATGCTCTTGATGCTTCTGCAGTTTGTCCAATCACAAGTGAAGTGTCACGACTCCCTGTTGCTGATGCTGGATTTGCCTCTTCCTCTTGCAGTAGGGGAGCATCTGATCGGCCAACGCCTACAGTGATGATTAGGACGCCATGAGGATGCCACAATGCTGTGATCCAGGAGTAGCATGCGAATGCAATGGGGCATGGCAGTATTACATGCGCAGGTGTGGAGTCATCATGTCCCGCTGTGTCTCTCGTCATATAGGGTGTGCCTCACCACCTATATGGGTTAGGTCGAGGTAGCTGTTTGGTGGCTACGTGCATTATAGGGTATGGCTCTAGTAGCATGCACACCACCCCTTATGTATGTTACATATCATATAACATAATGGAGCATGAGTTGATATTCAAGAAGTGCACCTGGTCGAAAACACACCACATGTAAAATTCGAGCTCACCCACACAAGACCAGAATGTGGAGGATGTGTATGTAAGGTATTAGACCAAAGCATGCGTTCATAAACAGATTAGAGTCAGGATTATGGTTAGAGATATTATCGAGGAAACGATGTGATTTTACTCTCTGTGAAATACCGAGGGCTTTGTTGCAGCACCTTGGGCAGTCGGTTTATCGGACGGATCAGCGCGATTGATGGCTGGGAGCGTGTGGATGGGATGGCATGGGATGTCACCCATCGCATGGATGTCATGTTTCTCGTGCTGGCTAGCATCTCATGTATCCTCCTTGTTCTCGGATGGGGGGTTCAACCTTCCGCTCCATCCATATTCCTATTGTGCACAGCATGAGGAGGGCTGCTCACCTCACCAACCATACCTTCGCAATTCATTCCTCCCCTTCCTCTGCCCTTGGCTCCATGCCTTCCATGTCTCCAACTACAGCCCTCATCCGTGTCATGTAGAATGGTGCAGAGAATTCTGCTTGGTCCAACGAGCATTGTGAAGATTCGCTAACGTAGGGAGTCCACGCGGAGCCAAGGGCATTCGTCCTTCCCCCCTCTGCAAGCACCACCATGTCGTCGCCGTCGTCATCGCGCACCATCTGGTGCCATCAGTGTGCGACCGTCTCCTCCGTCGCCCGGCCTCCCTTCGCCGCCGTCATGGGCGACCCGCGCTGCCCGGCGTGCGGAGGCGGTTTCGTCGAGGAGCTCCCCGCGCCCGCGCTCGCCGTTGACGCCGCTCACCCCTCTGCGCACGCCGACCCCTCGTTCGACGACGCGTGGGCGGACATGCGCGCCGTGCTCGAGCAGCATTCCGACCGCCTGCGCGCCGAGCCGGGGTCATCGCGGTCGTCGTCGCCCGACATCGGCGGGAGCCATGCCATTGCGCGCCACTGGGGGGCCGCTGAACCGCTGCCTTTCGCCCCGTCGCCCTCCGCGTCCCCATCCCCACCCTCTAGCGGCGACGCCGCCAGCCCTCCCACCCGCACACGCCGCTCCCCTCGTCGTCTTAGCGACGCCTCTCGCCGCCTCGTGCTAGACTCGCTCGATTCACTCGACGACGTGCTTCCGCTGGGCTCGCAGCATCGCACGAGTGGTCGCAGGGAGTCGCCCAGCGGCGTGTTCGGCGACTACGGCGACGGCGAGGACGGCTTGGCGCGCTTTCTGCGCGACATGGCGGAGGAGTCGTCGTTCCTGGAGGCGGCGACCGCGCAGTTGAGGTCGCGGAGGAGAGACGAGCGCGACGAGCAGGTGCGCAGGGACCTGTTGGGCTGAATTCGCCGCTGCGCCTTGTGGCGCTCTCTCCCATGATACAACTAACTAACCATTTCCGTGCTCGACCATCCCCCCTCTCCCCCACCCGTTCTGGAGACATGGCAGAGGGCGGGCAGCGACCTTGAGAACACGGAAGACGCCATGGCGCCACGCTCGGTGGCGTCACAGTCCGAGGCGGGGGCGGGGGCAGCGTTGGGTGGGGCTGGCGAGTTCTCGGGGTCGCAGGGCGACTTCTTCCTCGGGGGCGACTTCAGTGCGCTCGTGGACCGCATTGCCACTGCGCACCCCGCCACCGACGCCAAGTACGAAAGGCCTCCTTCAAGCAACAGTGACACACACCTACTCGTGCTACGCTATTGGTTCTAGGGAGCTTGCTGCGAGTTCAAAGCGGCGCTACCCTGTCGAGGTTCGATTGTGCACGTTTGGCCCACGCCTCCCTGAATCACCCCCCTCCCCTCCCGTCCCTGTCCCTTCGCCCATCCCTCCCCCCTCCAGCCCTCACACACCGGCCTCACGCGCGGCAGTGCAGGCCATGCCGCTGCGCATCGTGCGCGAGGCGGACGTGGCGGCGGGCATGGCGGCGTGCGCGGTGTGCCACGAGGAGATGGAGGCGGGGGCCGTGACGCAGCAGATGCCGTGCCGCCACGCCTACCACTCCGACTGCATCCTGCCCTGGCTCGCCCAAACCAACTCCTGCCCCGTCTGCCGCTTCCGCCTGCCCACCCAGGCCGAGGCGGATGCGGGCGCCGCGCGCCCCGGGGCTGGTGGACCGGGGATGAGCGCGCAGAGGAGCGAGGGGAGCGGGGGCAGCAGGGCTTGGGAGGGCGGTGGGAGGAAGGGGAGGGAGTGGGTGGTGGGGGGTTAGGAGTGGCGGCAGTGGTGGCAGCAGCAGGGATGGGGAGTGGGGGTGGCGTGGAGAGCAGCAGACAAGGCATGTTGGGCATGCGGCGTCATGGCATGCGGCGTCGTCCTTGTCGTCCTTGCTGCATCGGCGCATCCATGCCGCCACCCCCCTGCCCTGGCACCACGACCACCCTGCTCACCACCACTCCCAACCCCACCGTGCTGCGCCCTCTCTCTCCTTTGAAGGCGTTGCATCCGCTGCCTCCGCTGCTCGCTGGCTCGCCTCGTCCTCCTCTGCACGCCCATCGTCTGGAGCCACAGGGACGCGGCAGGGGGGCATGGGGCAGGGGGGCATGGGGCAGGGGGGCATGGGGCAGGGGGGCATGGGGCAGGGGGGCATGGGGCAGGGGGGCATGGGGGAGGCGGGAACACAGCAGAGTGGGACGGCAGTGGGCGGTGAGGGCAGCAGGCAAAGGACAGGCCTGAGGCAGATGCAGGTGGAGGGTGGTGTGGGGGTGCGGGGAGAGGGGAGAGAGTGGGGGGTGGGGAGGGCATGTGGGGGAAGCGAGTGCGAGGAGGGTGGCAGCGAGGCTCGGGGTGTCAGTGAGGCGATGAGGCGAGCAGTGGGGTCGTCGTGGGAGGCGTATCTGATGAGGCAGCGCGCCCGGCAGCTGGGGGGGGGAGGCTGGTGGCGGGAGGCAGGTGGGCGAGAGGGGAGTGGCAGGTGGGGCACGGTGCAATGGAGGGGATGAGGGAGGATGTTGTGCAGGGGAGGGGACGCACGGACGGCAGGGGCGAGGGGAGAGGAGGCGGCGAGCAAGGGCCGTGTGGGGGAGGGGCGGAGGCCAGGGAGGGGCCTGCAGGAGCAGCTGCTGGTGAATCGGCAGTGCAGCGTCGCGATCTGATTGGTGCAGAAAGGGGCACGGTGTTCGGGGACAGAGGGGAGCGGGAGCGGAGGTGGGGTGGTGGAGCAGATGCGCTGAGAGGAGGAGGGCAGCAAGGGGTGAGCGATGGCGGCCGTGCGAGGGGCAGTGGCGGCACTAGCTCAGGCGAGGAGAGCAGGGAGAGCAGCGAGAGCAGCGAGAGCAGGGAGAGCAGTTCTTGTGATGACAGCCCCTCGCGCCTGGCGCTCACTCCATCCTTTCCCCTGGGCCCTCTGCTTGGCAGCACCTCCCACGGGCCACCAGGGGGCAGTGTGGGGCGCACAGGGGCAAGGGTGGACAAGAGGCGAGAGAGGGAAGTGGGGGGGGGGAGAGTAGAGGGTGGAGGGCGACAAAGCACTGTCAGTGACCTGTCCACCCACTCACACTCCTCCACATCCCTCTCGTACTCCCTCTCTTCCTCATCGCTCTCTCCCTCCTCCCCCTGACCTCTGCTCCCTGAAGTTCCCTGCTTTCTGTGACGCCCACTCGGGATGTGCAGGAGCCCACTCGGGATGTGCAGGAGCCCACTCGGGATGTGCAGGAGCCCACTCGGGATGTTCAGGAGCCCACTCGGGATGTGGAGGAGCCCACTCGGGATGTGCAGGAGCCCACTCGGGATGTGCAGGAGCCCACTCGGGATGTGCAGGAGCCCACTCGGGATGTGCAGAAACCCACTCGGGATGTGCAGGAGCCCACTCGGGATGTTCAGGAGCCCACTCGGGATGTGGAGGAGCCCACTCGGGATGTGCAGGAGCCCACTCGGGATGTGCAGGAGCCCACTCGGGATGTGCAGGAGCCCACTCGGTATGTGCAGGAGCCCACTCGGGATGTGGAGGAGCCCACTCGGGATGTGCAGGAGCCCACTCGGGATGTGCAGGAGCCCACTCGGGATGTGGAGGAGCCCAC